CTGTTTAGACCCCTAATATTTCCCCCGAAGCCCCTAAAAGTAAAGTAAAAAATTTAAATATTTAATAAAAAAAATGAATAAATAAAAATAAAAAATAAGTAAAAAATAATAACAAAAAAATTATTAAATTAAAAAAATAAAAAGGTGAATAAAAAGTAAAAAATATCATGGCCCACTTGCCATGATAACCAGTTGATTGGCAACAACAGGAGCCTGCCAATCAGCTTGTTACTATTCCTTGGGTGATATTTGGTGCCGTACAGGAACAATGAGGGCGTGCTGGAACTTGTAGTTCCCTGGGTAATATTTTGGGGGGTGTAGAGGGACAATGAGGGTATGCTAGGACTTGTAGTTCAATTACGATATCTCCCAGCATGCTCTCATTTTACCTGTACACCCCCACATATCACAGGGGGCGCAAAATTTTGTTCTGTCCCGGGCGCCCGTTACTCTTGTTACGCCACTGACGGGAATATTCCAAGATGACAATGCCAGGATTTATCGGGTTCATATTGTGAAAGAGTTCAGGGAGCACGAGACATCATTTTCACACATAGATTGGCTACCACAGAGTCCAGACCTTAACCCTACGAGAATCTTTGGGATGTGCTGGAGAAGACTTTACACAATGGTAGTAACTTTCTAGGATTGCTAACAACTGATAACAATGGGATATGTTGGTCAAAGTGATTATCTAGCTTGTTGCAGAACAGGGCAAATACAGGTGACTTCATACTATTGCAGCCCATTGCAATGTGTTTCTTGTGCGTTAACATGCCTGATGTTAAAGGTTAAGTTTACTTTTCTAACCATGTTTCATGTTACATGTTACATGTTACATACATAATAAGGGTGTAACATGAAATATGGTCACATCACGAGCCCCCTACCTCCATGCTTACTTCAATCGTGGGGTTCTTCTCCCTGCAGGCTGGTGTTGTTTTTTTAATTCGGCACGGCTATGCGTTGCTCCACCCACACAGCCGCATCATTCATTCACAAATCCTTTGACAGGAATGTTAAATGTCTATGAATGTAGTACCTACAAGTTCCATCAGCCACTGCCTCAGTGGAATACAAGTGCAGTGACATCATTCTTTCCCTTGTCCATGTTACTGAATGTCCGTACCGAGATGGAGGTAGGGAGAATCTGCAGGAGTCAGAGTATTGCACCTACAGTCCACTTCTTGCAATTGCCATGCTTTACTGGCTCCAATGCAAAAAAATAATAAATGCACATTTTTGGATTTCTGGATCAACATTTGGCCTCGAGTACCTTCAAGGTACAAATCTCATCTGTTGCTAAGTCTTTTCCACAGATCTCTTGTCTCTCATTTCTTCATAGAGGCCTTTCTACAAGGTGTGGCTCATATACAAACCTCAGTGACTCCGTGGGATCTGAACTGAGTTTTGAATCTGGTGAGACGTGTTCAAATTGTACCTTGCAGCTACAAGTTCCTTCAGAAAGGCTGACTCTCTTTTTGTCATTCCTGAGTGTGCCCATAAGGGACAACCTGCTTATTGTTCCATATGGATTCACCCCTTCATGTCAAGGCACACTCTACAAGATCAGTAAGTGGCTTTTGGTATTTGGGCATCAGGTTTCTGTTTCTGAGATTTGCAAAGCTGCCATCTGGTCTACCGTTCACACATTCTCTAAGTTTTACCAAGTGAATGTATAGGCCTCAGCTGATGCAAGCATTGGGCACAAGGTCCTACAGGCAGCTATTTGAGCTACAGGCAGCCCCCAGTTTCTATACTATGTAGGCTTGTTAGTGTTTTGGTACTATTCCTACCCCTCAGTTAGGCTGCTTTTGGACGTCCCACTTATCTCTGATTTACTTCTGATTCAGTGTAATGAATGATAAAGAAAACCGGATTTTTATACTAACCGTAAAATCCATTTCTTGGATTTCATTAAGGGACACAGGTCCCATCCCACTGTGTTTGTGATCTACTCCTAGGACTACAAAACCAAAGCATGATGGGAGTGGGAGGAGTTATACCTGGCTGACCAACAGCTTTTTTTCGTTTGCCAGTGTCCAATTTCTCCTATAG